CTTCTAATATTATTTTAACATGAACCAAAATGATAAAGACCAACAAATCCAATCTCTCCAAGCCAAAATCCAGGAACTAGAAAAAAAATTAGAGGACTATTCCCAAGGCGGAATCAAAATCCTCTTCTCCGGCAAAGCCAACGCCCAAAAAATAGCCCGCAAAGTAAAACCCAGAACTCTAAAAGAAATCCCAGAATTAAGCCTTGGTAATGAGGAGCAAAAATCCAAAAACCTAGTAATTGAAGGCGATAATTTACTAGCCATGGCAACATTATACCAATATCACGGTAAAATTGACCTCATAATTGCTGACCCTCCTTATAATACGGGCAAAGATTTTCGTTATAATGATAAATGAGACCAAGACCCGAATGACCCAGGATTAGGTGATTATGTGAAAGCCGATGACCCTTCTCGGCATACGAAGTGAATGAAATTTATGTTGCCAAGGATACAAATGGCGAAACAAATGTTAAAAAATAGTGGAGTTTTAGCAATTTGTATTGATGAAAGAGAATTATTTAGATTAGGAATGATGCTGGACGAAGTTTTTGGAGAAAATAATAGATTATCCATAATTAATTGACAAAAGGCTTATGCTCCTAAAACAACTTCTCATGTCTCGGCAGCAACGGAATATGTATTAATCTATGCTAAAAATATTCAAAAATCTACTACTGGAAAAGCGGAATACACGGAAGTTCAAGAAGAGCGTTTTTCTAATCCTGATAATGACCCCAAAGGCCCTTGGCGTTCTACTACTTCCCTATTAAAAGCCCATACTTTAAGCAAAAATGCGATATATGCCATTCAAAACCCTTTTTCGGGAGAATTATATTATCCATTTAAGGATAATCAATGAAGGTATATCAAAAATATTATGAAGCCACTTTTAGAAGAATGAGGCTCAGAATACGAGGAAAAAGAATTAAATGATGGTTGCGTTCCTGGATTAATTTTAAAAGGATTTGACTTAAATAATTTACAAAATCCGGAAAAAGACCCAATTTTTCAACAAGCAAAATGAAGGATTTTTTTTAGTGTGAAATGGACCCAACCAAAATGCTAATTTTACCAAGGAAGTTTACGAAAAAATAGTTCAAGAAGCCAAGAATAATAATTTTAAAAACACCTTATCATGTTTATGCCCGGTTATATTTATGCCAAGTGGATACAGTAAATTTTTACCAAATTCCGGACAGCATTTTGCTAGATTTTGGCTTTGATTTAGAAAAAGATAGATTTAATTAAGATAAGGTAAAAAAGGCCTTAAAAAGAGTACTTAATTTAAGGAATTAATAAATGTTATGCTAAAATTATTTGATTTTCAAGAAAAAGCCGTTTTAGAGATAGTGGAAAAATATGAAAAGTATCTCGATAACCCAGCATGTTTAATTATTAAAAATAAAGAAGGTGAAGTAAAAGATGAAATACCAGTTCCTTTTATCCAAATTTTAGATGCTTTAACTGGTTCGGGAAAAACTGTAATTTTAGCCAAAACTGTGGGAGAGATTAGTAAATTACCTCCATTAAAACCTATAATTTTATGGTTAAGTAAAGCCAGTATAGTAGTCGAACAAAGTTTTAATAATTTAACTAGTGGTGGAAAATATCACCATTTATTAGGAAAAAGCGAAGTTATTATGCTGTCAGAATACCAAGAAAGATTATTAGAGGAAAATGAAACTCTGGTTCTTTTTGCTACTGTCGGAACCTTTAACCAAAAAGATAAAGAGGCCGGTAATCGCCAAATTTATCAATGTAAACTGGACGAACAAAGCCAAAGCACCTGAGAAAGTTTAAAAAATCGTGGGGAAAGACCATTATTTATTGTTTATGACGAGGGACATAATTTATCCGACCAACAAACTGATTTATTATTGGAATTAAAACCAAGCGTGTTTCTAATTGCCAGCGCCACCATGAAATTTCCCCAAAAACTTAAAGAACAGTACGACGAACTAAAAAGAATAAATAAATGAGAAAATAAAGATTTTATAACTCGTGTTGATACTGGAAAAGTGGTAGAAGCTGGTTTAGTGAAAAAAATAATAAAACTAGCTGCTTATGAAACGCCAATGGAAGAAACAGTTTCTTCATTAGTGGAAGATTTAAAACAAATTGAAGAACAAATTAAAATAACTAATTTACCAAACGAAAAACCCAAGGCTATTTACGTTTGTCGCACTAATGTTTTGGAATTTGACCCTACTTTACAAGACGATATTAATCAAAATTTTTCGGAAAGAAAAGCCCCTCCAATTTTAATTTGACGATATTTAGTAGAAAAATGTGGTGTTAAGCCGGAAAATATCGCCGTTTATTGTGATTTAAAATTTGCCAAAAATTATCCTAAACCTCCGGAATTTAAATTATTTAGCGGTGGTGGTGAAAAAAAATATCAAGAATTTATTGCTGGTGATTATCATCATATTATTTTTAATTTAGGCTTGCAAGAAGGTTGGGATGACCCATTAGTCTATGCGGCCTATATTGACCGCTTTATTAATTCTAAAATCGCTGTCAAACAAATTATTGGACGAGTTTTGCGACAGCCTAAACCTAATATTACCCACCAGTTACCGGAAATGCTGAATACCGCTCATTTTTATATTCAGATAGAAAAACAAAGTGCTTTTCAAGAAGTAATTGAGGAAGTTAATCAAGAATTACAACAAACCGCTCCGGAAATTGAGGTAAAAGTGGTAAGTTCGACTGAAAAGCCTGAATTAGTTAAAGTTCAAGGCGACTATGAAGTGCCAATTATCATTTGTAATAGCGCTGATGCTGAACCAGAAATAAATAAAATTATCCAAAATATACCTGACTGACGCCAGGATAAAGAAAAAACCCAAGGCACCGGCTATCGTTCAATTACTAAAAAATACATTGATGAGCAAGGTAATACTCAACAAATTTTAAGAGAAAAAATTGGTGAAACTAGTCGCACCACCGCCCGAGCCATTTTTTACCGAGAAATTATTCGCAAACTGCCCCAAGCCCGCGGAGTTTTTTGCCTTGATGAGCCTAAATTTGATGCCCCGGTTGGTTCAGAATCATGAGTTCACAAAGAAATTATTGAAAAAATTAACAAAATAGTTGATGTTTACTTAGAAAATTCTTATCTCGAACAAAGTTCAGTGGAAAATTATAAAATTCCTGATATTTTGCTTTATAATCCTCAAAAGTCATTACCATTCCAAAATAGTCTTCATGAAAAATATTCCCAATTAAACAAATTAGAAAAGGAATTCGCTCAAGAGTTAGATAAGTTTGCTGTAAAATGGTGTCGTAATCCTTCCCGAAGTGGTTATGCTATTCCTTTAATTACTCGTGGTGATACTCGAAATTTTTATCCGGATTTTTTGGTTTGATATAAGGATAATGTTATTGCCATTGATACTAGTGGCGAGCATTTAATTAAAGATAAAACCGACCGTAAATTACTTAATATTCTGCCTTTCATCAATAGTTCTTTCCACCTATTAGTCCGTTTTATTTACCAAGGAAAATGGAACAAGGAAGTAGAAAAAATTGATGATAATGGTTGGACTTTATGAAAAAGAAGAAAAAGAAAAATAAATGATGGAAGTTTATCAACTGTTAGTTTAGAAAGTTTGCCAGAACTTATTGAGTTAATGTTAGAAAAATGAACTAAAAAATAACTTAATGGAATCCAAAAAAATAAAAGACACTCTTTTGCTTCCTCGGACTAACTTGCCGTTGAAAAATACTAATCATTTAGAAACGGAAAAGAAAATTAGAGAAAAGTGGGAAGAAAGAAAAATCTATCAAAAAGTATTAGAAAAAAACCGCAATAATCAGCCCTTTATCCTCCATTCAGGCCCACCATATGCCAATGGTAAATTGCATATTGGCCATTTTTTAAACTTCATTATTAAAGATATAATTGTCCGTTTTCAGGCCAGGGAGGGCAAATATACTCCCTTTTTGCTGGGTTGGGATGCTCATGGTTTACCGACGGAGCATAAAATGCTCCAAATCCACAAAGACAAAAAAATCAACTTGCGGCCATTTTGTCATCAATTTGCGTTGGAACAGGCTCAAATCCAACGCGAACAATTAAAAAAATTGGGATTATTTACTGATTATGATAAATACTATATTACCTCGGACAAAAATTACGAAGCCGAGCAATTAAGAGTTTTTGCTGGATTAGTGAGAAAGAATCTGGTTTATCAAGGATTCAGACCCATTTATTGGTCTTGCGGACACGAGACCGCGTTAGCCGAGGCCGAAATAGAATATTACGAAAAAAAGGATACTTCTCTGTATTTTAAAATTAGATTAGCGGATATTTTTTTTGGAAAAGAAAATGTTAGTCTTCTCATTTGAACCACCCAACCTTGGACTATTCCGGCCAATCATTTGGTGGCGGTCAAAAAAACGGCCTCTTACGCCCTGGTTGAATATGACGAGGAATATTTAATAATTCTTGAAAATAAAATTTCTCTTTTAGAAAATCAAAGTATTAAGAATACGAGTATTGCCGAAGGCCAAAAATGGCACAGGCAAAAGTTAAAAATAGAAAAAATATTTTTGGGCGAAAAATTGCTAGGATTAACTTATTTTCATCCTTATCGGAAAGACGAGCAACTTACTGCGAGTCTTCTTAAAGATATTCAAGGATATATCGTCGATGGCAGTGATTTTATTAAGGAAGGAGAGGGAACAGGTCTCGTTCATTTAGCCCCCGCTTTTGGAGCCGAAGATTTTTCAGTAGCAAAAAAAGAAATGCGAAGTTATGACAATAACAAGCATTCTCAAAAATTAATGATTGAATGCCCGCTGGAACCTAATGGAGTTTTCAACGAAAAAATTGCTATTCCGGAATTGGTCGGCAAGCACTATTCAGAAGCAAATAGTTTAGTTATTGTTGATTTAGAAAAAAGAAATTTAATAATTAAAAAAGAAGTAATTAGTCATAGTTATCCCCACGATTGACGAGATAAAAGTCCCTTAATTTATCGTTTAACTAAGCAATGATTTATTAAAATAGAAGCAATAAAAAAAGAATTGTTGGAGAATATTGAAAAAGTAAAATGATATCCAGATTGAACCGAGGAAAAAATGCGGCAAATAATAGCGGCTCGGGAAGACTGGTGTATTTCACGGCAGAGAAAATGGGGAGTTCCTATTCCGATTTTATACCAAAACAATGAACCGATACTTAATTCTGAAATTATTGATTATGTGGCAGAAATTGTGGCTGAACTGGGTTCTGATTGTTGATTTGACGGAAGTATTTTGCCACTTTTGCGGGCAAGATTTCCACAGTTAATAAACAGCCAGACAATTTTAGGACAAGATATTATGGATGTTTGGTTGGATAGTGGGGTTTCTCATTGGTGTGTTCTGAAAAAGGATTAAAATAATAAATGCTTTCGTTTATTTCTTTTCTATTGTATATTGCCTTTCCAATTCTTCTAATTCTTGCCTTTTTTGAATTAGTTCCTTTTCTAATTTATTAATTTCTTCTTCTAAATTTTTGCTTTCTTGCTGGTCGGAATTTTCTTTCAGCAATTTTCTTTTTTCTTTTTTTTCTTCTAATGCTTTCTCCAATAACGAAATCATTTCTTTTTGAAGTTGTATAATTTTTTCGAGCAATTTACCCTTATTTTTTTCGCTAGTTTCATTGAGTTCATTTATTTCTTCCCCTTCCTCTCCTGAATCATTTTCAATTAAATCTGCCTTATTATTCTCGGATTTTGTTTGTATTTGCGGTGGAATGTCATCACCTCCTCCACCTTCTTCTCCTTCTGCTGTTTGGCAGTTAAAACAATAAAACTCTACGATTGTATTTAGTTCGTAATTTGTTTTTCTACCACTCACTCCTTTTTGGCTCACCCCGCTTCTTAATTGAAAGGCTTTTCACTTTTCTTCTTTTTTAATATCCTTGCTACAATCCTCGCATCTTATATAACCATTTGTAGATAATATTGTCAAATGGCTTTCATAACTCAAAAAATCAAATATTTCTTTATTTTCAATTTTCGCTTTCTTTCCGCATATATGTAATAATTTTACTCTTCTGCATCATTTATGACATATTATTTTCTGCTAAAAACTTTTTAATATGAACCAAAAAGAAAAAGACCAACAAATCCAATCTCTCCAAGCCAAAATCCAGGAACTAGAAAAAAAACTAGAAGACTATTCGCAAGGCGGAATAAAAACCCTCTTTTCTGGCAAAGCCAACGTCCAAAACCTTTAACCTCCAAGTTAAAACATGAGATTTTAAAAGAAATATCAGAATTAAGTATAGCAATGAATAATAAAATAATTGATTACATTTCAAAAAACAAAGTAAAGACAACTCCCGAAGAATTGGAGGCAGTTCAACCTTTGGCTAAGGAATTAGTGGAAGTCTACGGATATAATAAAAATGAAATAAAAACTCATCCCCAGTTTCGCATTTCTCTTTCTCCTTCTGATGAAAAAAAAAGTTATCCGGTTGATATCGCGGTTTTTGAAAACAATAAACTCAAAATAATTTGTGAATGTAAAAAAATATCGTCTCAAGAAGGCAAGGAACAATTAAGAAAATACTTGCGAATGTGCGAAGCCAAGATTGGAGTCTGGTTTAATGGCAAAGAACGCATAGTTTTGAAAAAAGTTGAGACCAGTAAAGGAATTGATTTTAAAGAATTAAATGACATTTTACCCTACGGAGTTTGAGAAGAAACCCACCCTCGTTATGAAGAATTAAAGCCCCGGGAAAACTTGAAAAGCGTTTTTCATCAGATTAAAAAAAGTCTACAAAAAACGGTTATTGGTAGCACTAATGAGCCTGATATAGCGAAAAATGTCCTAAAAATTTTATTTTGCAAAATTTTTGATGAAAGATACCAAAGTGAAAGTGGATTTGCTGAGTTTTATGCCAATATTGATAAACCGCAAGAGAGTTCAGTAAAAATTAGGGCAATTTTCACTAAGGTGAAAAATAAGTTTGAAGATGTTTTTGATAAAAACGAGGAAATTAAACTGGATGATAAAAGCGTAGTTTTTATTGTTCAAAAATTACAATGAATTAGTTTTAAAAATTCTGGGCGAGATGCCGTGGCGGATGCTTTTGAAGTATTTATTGGCACAGCCCTAAAAGGAGAACACGGACAATTTTTTACTCCCCGAAATGTGGTGCGATTTATTATTAACTTTTTGGATGTGAATGAAACTCAGAAAATAATCGACCCTGCTTGTGGAACCGGCGGTTTTATTGTTGAGTCTCTACGACATATTTGAAAAAAAATGGATGAAAATTTATCTCAAAAAAACTGAGAAAAGGAAGAAATCGAAAGAGAGAAAATTGCCATAGCCAGAAAAAATATTTTTGGTTGTGATAAAGACAGTTTTTTAGCCCAAGCCTGTAAAGCCTATATGTGTATATTAGGAGATGGTTCGGCAAATATTTGAAATGATGATAGTTTAATAAAGTTTACTAACAATTGAAAAGAGAAATATGACATTATTATCACTAATCCCCCTTTTGGAAAAACAATTGCTGTGGACGATGAAAAAGTTTTAAAAAATTTTAGTTTTTGACGGAAAGCGAAGGATAAAGCAATACAGCCGCAAATACTATTTCTTGAACTATGCCTCAGGTTACTAAAAAAAAATGGCAGACTAGCTATTGTTCTACCAGAAGGAATTTTTGGCAACGAAAGCGACAGTTATCGAGAAATAAGAGATTTTTTATTAGAAAATTATAGCTTGCTAGCAATATTTAGCATTCCGCAAGAAACATTCGAACCATTTACCGGAAATAAATGCTCTATTTTAATTTTAGAAAATAAAAAATATGAAGAAGCAAGTAAAGTTATTTTTGCTAATATTCAAAAAATAGGACACAACAAAAGAGGGGAAACGTTGTATAGATACAATAATAGCGGCATTCCTTTAAAAGATGAGGAGGGAAATTTTGTAGTCAATGATGAACTAAATGATATTTTTTTGGAAATTAAAAAAAATAATGTTCTACATTATAAGAAAAGTCATAAAGAAACCAAAATTTTTTATGTATTAGCCCAAGAAATAAAAGAAACACCGAACCTTTTTCTAATTCCTTCCTATTATAACGGATTTTTAAAATTAATAAACGAATTAAAAACTGAAAAAAACGAAAACTCCTTTTGTATAAACATTGGGGAATTAATTGAAAAAAACATATTATTTACTAACAAAAATAAAAACATTCCTCGTGGAAAAGCAGTAGACAGCCACTTTTACTTGCCTTTTAGGGAGGGATTAGTCCCATTTATTAGAACTTCTGATATTCAAAATCTCGAAATAACTAAGCGACCGCAAAAATGGGTTAACCATGAAATTTACGAAAATTTTAGGCAAGACATTAAAGCCTACGACATACTTTTCGTAAAAGATGGAATGGAAAGGATAGGAGAAACAGCGATGATAATGCCCGGAGAAGAAAAATTAATTTTACAAAGTCATCTTTTTAAATTGAGAATAAATGCTAATGAAATAAATTTAGACAACTTTAATTTCTTGTATTTCCTTAATCAAAACTACGTTACAGAACAAATAAAAAAATTAATTTTCACCCAAGGGACAATTCCAACAATAGGGGAAAGAATAAAGGAGATAACTCTTTGAATACCTAAAAGTAAAGAAGAATGTCAAAAATTAAGTGATTACATGAAAAAGAATTTATTATCTAAATACGAATTTAAAAAATCTTTAAAATACAACATACAAAAACGCTAAAATTTAATCATGAAAGAAAACTCTAATTTAATCAGACAAGAAAAAATAGAACTTTTAAGGAAAGCAATAGGAGAAAAATCTTGTTTTCTTTGTCTGGGAAAAGCAAAAGCGGAAAAAAAGGACCCTTAACCGCCGTGGAAGTAATTTGTAGCCAAGAGGACATTGACCGCACTCGACAAAGTTGAGCCAAAAAAAAAGATTCCGAGGATAAGTTAAAAAAACAGTAAAATAATAATAAAGAAGATAAAGTTGATGAAAGAGACAAAAATGGATAAGAATATTTATCAGATTAAACAAAAATAAGAAAATAAAATAATTGAATTGAAAAGAAAGTGCCAAAAACCAACTAAATTTATTTTAAAAAATTAGTCATGTGGTATGGTAAATATTCATAATAATAAACTTAATTAATACATGATTCACACACACACACACACAGAAAAATGACAAGGAAACTAAAATTAACCACCGAAATTATAAAAAAGGTAAAAGAAGAAGGCAAAACCACTATTCAAGTAGTTGACCGCACGCCTCCATTAAGCAAGTCGTTAGCGAATATAAACCAAAAATATTGGGATAAAATTGTGATTAATGATGAATGGGGAGAGTTAAAAAGTGAAAAAAAAGTCTGAGGCCATACTGTTTACGAGTTAAGCCCTGGAATTTTGTGGAAAATATTGCAAGATGGTAAGTTATTCAAGTATGTTAATCCTAATGCTGGTGTTGACAAAAATGACTGCCAATTTGTTTCCGCGGATATTCTGGCCGATTTTCAAAGGATTTTTGGTGAAGAAGAGGAGAAAATAAAAATAATCAAAAAGGGTTTTAATAACTGAAAGAAAATTAAAGATTTCGCTATTAATGATGTAATTAGACCAGGCGATTGGGGTGGTTGAAAAAGCATTTTTGACATTATTAAAAAGGACCGATTGTTAAGCCAAGACGGTCGCCCAGCCAGCCCCGAAGCATTCAAATTTCTCCAAGACACTATTGCCAGTGAAGTAAAGGTAATTTATAAACCAGGAGAGTATGATTTAGCCGAATTTGAAGGCGTGGAAAATTTGGCAGACGCGAATATTCAAGTAGCAGTTAATTTCGAACAGGAGCAGGAAACCGAAGGAGAAAGTAATTCTCCGGATGCCAGGGAAAGTGGTTCGGATAGCAACAGCAATGGTAGTTCAGAAACGGGAGATAATAAAACTACAATCCAAATTCCTTTGGATACCATTACCGAATATTTAAGAGACTATGATCCAAATGCTTATGGTGATGGTTTTGTTATTAATGATGGTCAAGATGAAAGTATATTCGTAGAAAGCGATATGGCTAATCCAATAACGGCGGAAATTACCCAAATTGACGAAATAAGAGGTAAATATCCTTATCATTTTGCCGAATATAAAATCAAGCCAATAGAAATAAAAATTATCTCTGATGGCAGTGTCCGCACTATATTTATAAATAGAATTCGCTTGTTTTATAGAATTGATAATAATTTTAACCTTGAGAATTTTAGAGGAGAAGCAAGAGCCCGAGCGGAAAAAAGGCAGGTGAAAATTGAAATTCCGGGTTTTGTTAATGAGGAAGAAAAAAAAGATTTAATCGTTAAAAAAGGCAGCAAAGTTAAAATAACACTATCGGACAATGATAATAACAAAAAAATAATCCAAGCAGGAGAACAAAAATATATTAGGTGAAAAAATTGATGTTTACAAGGGGGAATGCGGGGCAGCAGTAATTATGTTTTAGAAGTTAGCGACGATTATTCCATTAGAGTAGAAAATGAAGAGGAAATTCCTTTTGAATACAATTTCAATAGCGAAAATTTATCCAGTCTTATTTCCGAAGCCAGAGCATTTAGATATGAAGTAGGTGCCACTCCCAAAGTTTTTAGAGAAATTATAGAGGAAATTAGAAAGCACCGCCAATTTGGAGAACTTACCCTAGAAAAGCAAGCGGAAATTATTGGGATTTTAGAAATAAATGAATATCCGGTAATAGTGGCTAAAAAACAGCAAAGAGATTTAACTGGGTCAAAAGTATTTCCTACCCGCGAGGAAAAAAACAAATGAAAGAATTATCTAAATGAGTTGAAAGGAAAGGAAGAAACAAAATGAGTTAATTGCGAGGAAAATATTGTTGAACACTTGGAAGATTTAGTGGAAAATGGCTACCAACCGACCGATAACCTGATACCTAAGCGGATTAATGCCGGAGAAAATGCCGAAAACCAAGTAAAAATCTTTTACCGAACCGAACAAGGAGGAGAACTTGACACCGCGATTTGAAAAAAAACCCGAGCGAATTATTATTCCTACCAGTGCCAAGGCATCGTCCAAGAAATAGAAAAAAAAATTAGGGAAGTCGGACCCGGCGAATATCCGCAGTGGCCGGAAAAAATAAACGAGATAATTGGTGTTCCGCAACCCCAACAGGAAGGAATGACTACCGAGCAACGAATTGAGGAGTTTGTTGTTTTGATAACGGATGACGAACTAGCCAAAAAAGCCATTGACGATATTCATAAAATAGCCGTTAGCGAACGGGCTATTTACCGCTCCATAGATAGAAAATGACAAGATAATTTAATTACTCCCCAACAACGACGAGATATTTTTTATTGTCAGCAGTTAGATAATGATATTGAGGAGACAAAACAGACTTGGCAGTTATTAAGTTATATTGAAGAGGCTCTCTCTCTCTCTCTCTCTCTCTCTCAAAATAGCGAAAATCTAAGTGAAGAAATAGCAAGAATTAAGGGATTAATTCAACAATCCGAATATCAAAGCGGCCAAAAAATAATAAACAACGTAGCCGGTGATTTAGCGGAGAAAGCAATAGTTAAATTAGACTTGTTGAGTTGAGCGGATATTGACTGCCCTCAATTAGATAAGGAAAAATTGCCGGATTATTATTCTCACTACCAACAATTAGCCAATCAGTTAAGACAGGACACCACAAAAAATTGGTGCTTACAAAATATTTATGGGGCAGACTGACAAGCGGAATTTAATATTCGCTACCAAAAACTTCAAGCCTGGAAATTGTTGGATGACTATCAAAAAGAAAGTTGATGGAGCAATTTATCAGAGTTAGAAAATCCGGACAATCAGGCAAAAAAAGTGGAAATAAAAACCCGGTTGGAAAGTTTTACAAAAGAACAAATAAACTGGGTCCAAGAAAAAGCCGAAATAGCAGCCGAGAAAATGGCGGATTTCCAAGCAACGGTCGGTCTGAGAAAAGAATTATCCGTCTTGTTGACCGAAGCCGAAGCGGAAAATGATTATGAGAAACTAAGTAAAATATGAAATGATGGAATTTGTTGATATAATAGATATGTTCGCCAGATTACGGGTGATGATGAAAAAAGGGCCACGAAAATTTTCCATAAATTATTAGATTTAGAATTGGATTGACTTTTCACCCAAGTTGAAAGTGAAAACGAGGTGGAGAAATTGGAAGATTATCGGCAGAAAATTAAGGAATTTCAGGATGAATTTTTTGGACCAGACGAAACCATACTTTCCGCAGTTTGGAAAAAAAAGAATGAAGGATATTCGCCGTCAAACTTTTTAGGTGTAAGCAAAAAAGGCATTTTGGATGAAAAATTAGACGAATTGAAGCAAAAAATTGACAACCAAAAAAATTGAGAACAATCGGCCAATGCGTCGCTGCCAGAGTTGGAAAAAAAAGCCCAACAAGATGTTTGAACGGATGAGGAATTGACCGCTTTGGAGAAAGAAATTGCGGAATTTCCACCTTATATTGAAAAGCAACCTGAACCAAAATATTATCGTGGTTTTAAAGTCAATTATCAGAACCAAAAATCCATTAATCAACGATTAGAAAGAGCCAAAGAAGGCGCCAAGAAAAATGTGGCTGATTACCAAGCAGCAATTAAAGATATAGACACTATTTTAGACAAAAATGTTGAATTAGATTATAGAATTACGGCTTTTCAGGGTGATAGCATTCCTGATTCAAATTGAGATTTAGAAAAACTGCAAACCGATATTAATTTTTTAATTGGTTGAAGCAAAACAGAAGATTTAACACCACTTCAACAAAAAGTTAAACAAGTCAAAGGGGATGCTATTACTGAACGCTTACTGGCCCTAGAAAAAAAGCAATATTTGGCTGAAAATGAGAAAGAATTGAATGAGTATGAAAAAAAAGAGGTTGGAAAAGCAAAAAATTTAGTCAATTTAAAAAATAATGTTAGAAAGTGAAAAGAAAATATTTTGTTGGGTCGAGATAAAGAACTACGCGGAGAATGAGAAAAGCATTTTTACAAACCGAAAAACCGAAAGTTTTACTGAAATGACGAAAAAAATTTCAGTTGGGATGATTTAAAAAATTTAGCCGCTAATAATTGAGATAGATATTTTACCACCGCGGAAAAATTAACGGAATTAAAAGCCGGTTTTAATTTAGATTACCAATCGGAGACGGGCCGCAAGCAAACAATTAAGTGTTTAAGCATGGATTATGACGGTTTGGATTTAATTTTAGAGCAGCAAGCCGTTTTAGAAAAAAACTTTGATAATAAAAAATGAAATCCAATTCTGGTTGAGGCAGAAAAAAATTTCCTTAACTCTTTCAACACGGCCAAAAAAACCCAAAGTGCTTGTGAATTACTAACTATTTGTCGTCGGGCCCGAGGAGCCTGAGGCAATAATACTGCTCTAACCAGTTGAGAGGAGGCCGATATTAATAACTTTAATCAGACCAATTACGATAAACTGAATTCTTTTGCCGAGGCGTTGCCAGACAGCGACCAACAAATTGTTTGGACTTCTTGTAATGATATGTTGGGAGGAATAGCCGCCCAAATTTTAACTAAATACAAAGGTTTGCAAACCTGAGATAATTTTTTTGCCGAGCATGGTATTAAGGACAACAAAGTCAAGGCGAAGTGAAAAAGCCTGTCCGGTGGTCTGGATGAAGCAAAAAAAGTTTACGAAAATGCTTGCCAAAATGACGCTGATGGAGCGGCTTGGGAAAGAGGGCTTGACGACGAGGAAAAAAATCAGATTAAGAAAGCCAAAACTCCAGACCAGGTTAAGCAAGAGCAAGAAAATATTGCTTGACAGCGTTTTTTTGTGGCCCGGAATATTACCGATAAACATGAGAAAGAGGCATGACAAATTACTAGTGGCTTAACTTTGGCCGAAGCCCAAATCGCTTATGACACGAGAGGCTGACGAAATTTGAGTGACAAAAACATTTGTGCTGATTTAAGAGAAAAGAAAGTGAAATATATTTCAAAACTTCGTGATGGAGGAAAGTTGTTCACACAAGACGTCCAACTAGTTAATCATAGCCCCGGCGAAATGGATAAATTTCACCAGTTATATAAGGATATTGAGACGGCCACTAGTTTAACTGATTTGCGTAGCATAGATATTGAAGTTTACGACCAAGAACAGGTTCCTAATGTGGGTAAATGGGATAGGATGAAAGTTAGAAAAGATAATAAAAAATTAGCCTTGTTTAAAACGGCTTTTGAAGGGACCGGAGCCGGACCGAGCGGTCTTGACAACGAGCAAATTAAGAAATGATTAACTGCTGACACTGGTTTAGCCAAAGACGGAGTAGAGGAAAGAGAAGTTTTTGAGAATGGTTGAACGGAGCCAGACGAGATTGATAAGCCGATTCTCATCATTTACCCACACGTAAATTATCAAATCCCGAGCACCGAGAATTTAAAGGATATTTGGATTAAGGCAGAGGTGAAAAAAGTTAAAAAAGAGGAATTAGATAAGGTTAAAAAGTTATTAGATGACATTAGACAAGAAAATTCAGCCAGCAATTTACCCGCTAATTATGCTGATTTTCAGGCCGGAATTATAGAAAATTTACCCGACGACCATACTCTCCCGGAAGATTATCGAAAATCTAAAATAATAGCACTTTATCAAGATTATCGTGGCTGAGTAGTAGATAATGAGTTTATTAGAGATTTCAAAAATGTTGGCGGTGCGGCTGATACTTTTGTCGGAAGCAACATTTTTCAGCCCGACGTCAGAAAAAAGGTTCTGGCTTACCGAAAACAAGTTTCTGATACATTTGGCGAACGAGAAATCACCGGAGCCGAGGCCGGCCAAATCCGTAATAATGGCTGGGACCCTACGGAAATTGATATTGAGGTCGATGGGAGAATTACGGCTAGTTACGAGGGCCGAGACGATTGGGAGCCACTAATTACTACTAAACAGGAGGCGAATAAAAAAATATGAGTTCAGAAATTCAAAAATGGTGCTAGTCTATCATTAACCGACCAGCAAATATTAGAGTATCTAAAATTATGTCCTAGTTCTGGTGTTGGTTCGTTCCTAATATTTATTCCTCCCCAAATGGCCCGTCGGATTCATGATAACCACTGAGCCGCCGACCAGTTTACTGGTTCTTATGCGACTTCTTTCGGTGCTCCTACTATCTGAAAAGCCACAATTAATACTTATTCTTCATACGGACAAACCGACCAGGATTTAGATGCGTTAACCATTGATAGAGAGGAATTAGATAAAGTTAATACTATAATAAAACAAATAAATGATGCTAAAAGTTTAAGTGATTTACCGGCCGAGGCGGATATTAATTTAACGAAATATGAAGAAAAGAAAGTTCCAGCAACGAAAAATTATGCGGCTATTAAAAACCAAATAAAGGACAAAAAAGCCCAATTAGACCAAGATGCGGCCGACCTAACCGCTCGCCACGATGCTATTCAAGCGGTTAAAGATTATTGAAAAGCCCTGAAAATGACCGGCCAAGTTGCGGATGTCTGCGGTAAAAATTGAGAAAATAATTTCTCTAATTTAAAAGGAAATAATATTAAGGCGGAGAAAAATCGTCTTATCTCTCTCATTAACGAGGCCAAAGTTAAACCTGACATTACCGAAATTGAGGCAGAATTGAATAAAAAACCTGTCGTTTCCAGCAGCGAACTTAAAAATTCGGATTATCAAACAGAAATGATTAATTTGGTCCGGGATGATAGCCAACGAGCGACCCAAAAACAAGAAATAATTAAGGAAATTAACCAGATTAGAGAAAATAAATTAGAAAAAGTTCGACAAATAATTAGCCAGGCACAAAATATTTTCAACAAAGATGCGGCTACTAAGAAAGAATTGGAGCAAGTTATTAATGATTTAAATACTTTGGCTAATGCTCCCAGTGATAGTGCCGAAAAAATAATTTGGACGGAAAAAGAAACCGAAAATAAAAAATTATTAACTGATTTGGAAGCCAAGTTAAACACTAATTTTCCTCCCGAACCGGAAAAAGAAGGACCAAAGGGTCCGGAAATTCCTACTCCGCCCCCTTCCCCAACTCCACAGGAAGAAGCTGAAAAATATGGAGCGGATTTTGCTAATTTAAAATCCACTCAACAAGGGGAACGAAAAAAGATTGTAGAAAACTGAAAAAAAGAAGCCAATTATGACCGTTGTAAAACTTGCCGTTATTGTCCCCAAGAGTTTCATTATGATAAAAGTTTAGAATTTCTGGCTAGCCAAAAGAAAGTCAACGAAGAGTTAAAAACCCATGAGGATAATTGCTCGGAAAAAAATAATGCTAACCACCAAGCCAACAAAGCCAGTGAGTGAGAAAAAACCAGAAAATCTACTAAACGTTATTTTTATGCTTGCCGACATTGCTGAGGTAAAATTGAATTAGACAAAAGTATTAAGGACTGAGACAAAGCCAAACGGCAAGCCCGGGCCGATTTGGCTTATCACGAAGAACACGAATGTGGCAATAATTTAGAAAAACCCAAAATTGCCATTTACTTCTCACCGAACCAAGGAGGAAATAAGCACGCCGATCTAACTTATGCTACAAAGGTTAACGAAAGTGAATTAAGTTTGGAACAGGATAATCAGGGAGAAATTTATCAAGAAAAATCGCCAATCAACTTAACTCCTTGACTAATCAGCGGTGGTCTAATTTTAGTGGGTGGATTATTATTCGCTTGACTTATTAACCGGAAAAAGGAAAATAGAAAAAATAAATAAGAATAATTTTTGTCTGTTAAGACTAAAAATAGATATTCTGGTAAAAAAAGCTAAATAATTTGCGGCGGGTGATAAGAAAAAAAAACTAAAAAAATATTAATGACCCTTCCTAACAGACCGCGTGGCACTCAAGATATTTATCCCCGCTCGCCAATTTACCAGAAAATTTGACAAATAATTACCCAGATATCAACCCGCCAAAGGAACAATTTCGTCGCAAAACTCTCTTAAATAATCTTTTGAGTTGAACTGGAAATTGAGAAAAGGAATGAAAAAAACACTTACAAGAAAAAGGTTATGAGGAGAAAATTCGCCCCCAAAATCTAACCCCCAACCGAGTATTGACAATTATTTCTTTTTTGACAAGCAATTAGTAAAAAAGTAATATCTAACTAAGCCTCATATGAATAAAGTGTCAAAGAAAATTGAATTGGTAGAGGCATTCATAGAAATGCATAAAACGAATTCAAAAGATTATCATCACTCTTTTGTTAATAAAAACCTTGGGTATGGAATTTACCAAATTTTTCCTTTTGAGTATGATGAGAAACATATGGAACTCTTTAAGGAAGCAAGGAAAAGAATATTAAACAGCCTAAGCAATTATATCAAGAAAAGTTCAAATGAAGAAGAGTTGTCATTTGTGTATTATCATTATCATGACAGTCGAGAAGGCGGGATTGAAACGCTAAGTCTAGTAAAATACTTGAAAATTATCAAAAAAAGTAAAAATTCAGCAAGTTACATGGCTTATCTGAGGGAAGCACCCCAGGGCTTAAAAGTAATTAATTTTGAAACTCTGTTTTCCCTTGATAGACTAAAGGATTTTTGTAATAAATATATACTTTGCGATGTTTCGGATGAGAATTTTCTAAAAACCAAACCGCGCGGCACCCAAGATATTTATCCCCCCCGTTCCCTAATTCATCAAAACATCCAACAAATAATTATTGAGGTACTTCATAAAAACAATTATCAGCCGATAATTTTTCCAACTTTTGAATATAAAGAATTCTTTACCAGTTCTTTGGGTTCCACCACCGATATTATTCATAAAGAAATGTATGATTTTTTGGATAGAAAAGAGCGAGAATTGGCTTTGCGGCCGGAAGGAACCGCCAGCACAGTGAGGTTAGTTTGCCAAAACAAGTTAATTAAAGAAGGTTATCCACTGAAATTATATTATTGGGCTAATATGTTTCGTTATGAACGACCACAACAGGGGAGATATCGGGAGTTTTGGCAGTTAGGAGTGGAATTAATTAATGCCGACGGGGCTATTGCCGATTATCAAATATTAAAATTAACTGCCGACATTTTGCGTGCTTTAGGGATTAAGAATTTTAGTTTTAAATTGAATTATTTAGGTAATAACGAGACCAAAGAAAAATTTAAAAAAAAATTAAAAGGTTTTGTTGAAAAAACTGCTCCTGAATTGTGTGCTGATTGTCAAAGGAGATATGAGACTAATCCGCTGCGGACGCTTGACTGTTTACTCTGTAAAAATAAATATAGTTATCCTTTTTATAAGGACGCTTGGAGCGAAAAAGATAACGACTATATAAATGAACTTAACCGGATTTTGGATAAATTTAATTTTCCTTATCAATATGATTATCATTTAGTACGAGGCTTGGATTATTATACAGGATTAGTTTTTGAGATTGATTTGGGAACACAAAAAGCCATTTTAGGCGGAGGTCGTTACGATAATCTTTACCGAGAAATAGGAGGTGTGGATGTGCCTGCTCTTGGTTTCGCTATTGGAATTGAACGATTGGCGGAATATTTGGAGGAAAAAAAAATACTTAAAACTGAACAAGTAGTAGATATTTTTTTCTTAGCAATGACAACTGAGGCTTATCCAGATATCCTATTTTGAAAAAAAGAATTAGAGAAATGTTTTGTCGGAGACCAAAAATGTCCGTTAGTAGTGGATTATAATCTAAAAGTAAAAACATTAAAATTTCTGCCAAAAATTATTGACTATTACCAACCAAAAATATTAATTATAGTGGGGGAGGAAGAGTTAAAAAGCGGTGAAATATCAATAAAAGACTGTCAAAAAAGACAAAATTTTTTCGTAGAAAAAGAAAAATTGATAGAATGAATTAGTGATTATTTTCTCCCATAATCAAACGCATTTTGTTAAAATTTATTATCACCACTAAAGAAATAAGTGGCGAAAAATAAAATGGTAAAAAAAAGTTTAGACTTGGAATTAAGGTTGTGAAAGGATTATCCACTAATTGCTGGTGTTGATGAAGCTGGGCGGGGGGCCCTGGCGGGACCAATAATAGTTGCTGCCGTTGTTTTACCAACCGGCTATCAAAATCCTTTGATTCAGGATTCAAAAATACTTAGCCCCAGCCAAAGAAAAAGGGCTTATCGTCTCGTCAAAAAAGAGGCCTTGGAATATAAAATCATTGCCAAAAGTGCTCGGGAAGTAGAAGTCAAAAATCCTCTCGCTGCCACCAAGGAAGCCATGGTTGAGGCTCTGGTCGGTCTGAAAAATAGACCTGATTTGTGTCTAGTGGACGGTCAAGAAAAAATTGTTTCCGAAGGATTTAAAATTGTCAGTGTAGTGGGTGGCGATCGACGGTCTATTAATATTGCTGCTGCTTCGATTATTGCCAAAGTAACCCGTGATGCCATCATGCAAAAACTCCATAAAAAATATCCTCTCTACGATTGATTTAGCAATAAAGGATACCCCAACAACGCTCATTTGACTTCCATTTTCCAGCATGGAACCTGCGATTTACATCGCCAAACTTACGAACCGATAAAAAGCCTCTTAAAACCGGACTGCGACAAGAAAAAACTTGCTGAAAAATACGGGCTTTAGTCTGACTTTCTCAAAAAATACGGACTTTAAGCACGGACTTTCTTAAAAGCGAAAAACTTTTTATAAATAAGCGGGAGGATTTTTAATGGCTACTATTACTCAATATATCCCAAAACCGATAGTAAATAAAATATAGGCTATAGACAAAATAAGGCAAAAAGTGGCTCAATTGTGATGACCATATTTGGTTAATACTTCATTCATTTTGACATAATTAAGAATGGCAAAAAAACAAGTAGCCAATGGATAGATAAAGGCTTTTAAAAATGTTCCTAAATTTATTAATATTTTTTTGGTTCATGCAAGTAAATTAGACATATATATATTATTTTAACCAGAAAAAAATAAATTATATGAATAAAGGAGTCTTAGCCGATAAAATTCACCTCTGCTACATTGATACTGAGGATTTAATGGAATGAATAAAAGAAAATTGTCTTCTTGATAAAGATTTTAGTGAAAAAAAAGAAAAATGAGACCAAGCAATTAATCAACGGCCCAATTTCTTTTCTGATACAGAATTATTACTAGCATATCAAGATGCTCTACTTTTAAAAGTCCTTACTGAAAGCCAAGCAATTTTTTTAGCCAAAACCTATCAGTTAGAATATCAAAATGTTTGTCAAAAACTTTTTCAGGAACCGAAAAATATTTTTCTGGTTGGCGATAGACAATGAAAAATAATAAATGATAGTATTTTATTTGAGGGAGAAAAGGAATTTCAAAATACGAAAAAGATTATGGTCTTGCTGAAAGATAGAAAAATTATTGCTGAAAAATTGTCTTCTTTGCTTTTATCCTAAATTTTACTCTTTAAGAATTTGTTGTTTCCAGAAAATTAATTTCTGGTGAAAATAGATAAGTATTAAAAATACTTAAAATTATATTTCTGTCCGTTTATTCAGCAAAAAGAAATTATTCCCCACCTTTCAAACACAAAAAAGGAGGAATAAAATTACCTCTAACCAAAAATATCATTTATTCCCGACCTAATTAGCCATTTGGGGAGGAATAAAATTAAGAGAGCAATTTGGAGCAGCATATAACAAAAAACCTTATTTTTTGCTAAATTTTAAATCCTCAAATAATTTTATTCACAAAGGACACAAATTGAAGCAAAAAATAAAGAAAATTTAAGCATTGAATATCTTTTTGCCTTCCTGTTGCCTAATTTTAGTCTTCGACAAAACACCGGACCTATCTCTCACACAAACAACCACTTTCTTCTTGGAAACCAACTCCTTCAACCGGTCTTGGAACTCAACCTGTTTCTCCCAATCCAACCCATTATCAGATTCATCAAAGAGGAAGATTTGGGAGTGGAGTTTGCGTTGGAGAGTGTTGTTAATATTGGT